AGATTTTTTTTTATATATGTACCGAGAAAATTAATTAAAAAATATTAATTTACTATAATGCAGATAGCTCGTCTAAATGTATTTATATATTTGTAATACTGAAACATTAAAAAATAAGAACAAACCGATGATAACATGGAAAATTTCTTTGTTTGCGGCGATTGTTGAAAATAAAAATCGAGTTAGGATGAACCGGTGACTGTCACCGTTTGACACAGCTATCTTCGAATAAACTACAGTACGTAATGCGATGAGTACGATGGGCTTACTTTAAACAATGCCGAAAATGGATTTTTTTTTTTTTTTGGACAGACTAAGTTCTTAATTTTTAGTGTGGAATTTTCCTAAGTCGACGAGATTCCAGTCACGCAACCGGACGCGGCCGCCGAAGATGTGGATATGAGTTTGTTGGGAGAAGACATTGTGATGGATTTGATGTGGGGTGGTAGATAAAACGTGTCGAGAGGGTTGGAGTGCGCAGCCTCCCCTCGGCGAATCGATCCCTTTCACCTTAGCCAATCCGCTATTTTCACAGAGCTCGACTTGTTTCAGCCCCGAGGGTCAGGAAGAGGGTGCTCATCCCTCCTGGCGAAACGGTACAAATGCCTGCGTCGTACGCTTAACACGTGACGTCAATTAGTGCCATGTTTAAATTTATCCCATTGTACCACGTGGGGTTGTTTCATCCCCGTCTTCTCGCTTATTTTACCTTTACCTGAACTCCTTTCCACAAACTTTTTTGTTTTTGTAAATACAAACGCTGGGGATGTTAAGACAAAAATAAACCGGCTAAAAAGAAGAATCATGTTTTAAAATCAAGGTCTGCATATCCTGGCTGGGTTTGTCTGAACGATTTCTGATTAGTATAGTCTTTTTTATAAAGTCTTGTCTCATAAATATTGAGGACTGGGGTGCAATTGTCCCCGTCATCTTTCGTCAACTGGGAAAAATATCGCAATATTTTCCAATTCCAACTTTTGAAAGTGATTCGAAACCTTTCTTATACATTTTTTCTCGGCATTGTTTTAACTTACAGATCGTGTGGAAAATGACACTGCTTAAAAGGTCGTGAAGGATTATCGGATAACCTTATTAATTGAATCGTTGGATTGGACATTAAGGTCAGTGGATCGAAGTCACGATAGCTGAAGTGGTCGAGCAGCGGCGTATTTAGCCGAAGGTCGTGGGTTCGAATCCCGCTCGTGACACTAGCTTTTTCATTGCAACCATTACCTTACGTGAAGATTAATTAATTGAAAGAAGTTATTTGGTCAATCTATAAAATATAATGGATTAAGGTCAGTGTGGATGGTGATTTTTCTTAGCATGGATCGAAGAGAATGAAATGTTATAATAATTGGGTTTTTCGGTTGAAGCTTCTATTCCGTCCGTCCGTACGTTGATCTTAGGTCATATAACCTTCCAGTCCCTTGTCTTTTATAAAAGGTTGAAGCTTTTGGTCTTGAGGAGACACGGATGGTTCCGAATGGGAAAAAAGGATGGTTTGGTCGTTAAAGTGTGAAAGGAATGGACCAAAGATGCTTCCTTGTGGAATTCCAGTTTTTGTAGGACTAACTGAAGCACCGGACGATCTTTGACCGACAGCAGCGGACTGACAGGGATTATAGGGTTATTGTAGTGATATTAGGAAGTGGGGAGAATTTGATCTTCAATTTACGAAATCTTCTAACAGGGTGAACCCTTTAGTCTTCAGAAGACAACACATGGTTCCGAATGGGAAGAAAGGATAGTTTTGTCGTTAAAGTGAGAAAGGAATGGACCAAAGATGCTTCCTTGTGGGATTCCATGATTTCTAGGTGTAACTGTATATCTGTATCTGAATGTTTGACCAACTGTCAGGGATTATAGGATTAATAAGTAAGTAGGAGGGTTTTCTTGATTTTCCTCAGTAGGCCCGGGTGCCAAAATCGATCGAAGGCATGGTACGCGTCTAGAAAGACGATACCGCTTCCTCCTTCTGTCATTATAACCAGTTTCCAATTACTAGTTCACTGCTGGCTGGAATTTCAATTTTCACCGTCCAGGACGGTAATTTTATTTTCAAATTTCTTACGCGGAGGGGGGATTTGAATTTGTTCTTACCCCGATATTTTAACCTCCAAAGAATCTAGTAAAGTATCTGTCCATCTTGCTCTTAAAAACACCTTTCGCTGTGAAATGTGAAATCTTACGTTCTGATATTCTATGGACCGGGAATTTCCGGCCTTAATTCCAAAACGGGTGCCCACGAAACCAAGCGAAATTCTTCGGATGCACGACACACCGCCAGAAGGGAAAGGGAAGAATCTTATGAATTCGGTATCACACAGCGCAGACATGACGCCTTTTTGGCCGTCCCGACGGATTTTTGAGATCCCACCCGAGGTTGACAATCAACGCTTAGCATTCCAGGCAATGTTTTGGCCATGTTTCAAAACAAAATGGTATCACGAGTAATAGTCCCGGGCCATCACATTTGACACTTATCGTGTTCATTTTATTATGGGGAGAATAATATAAAAATGTCCGTCGTATTGTCTATAAAAAGAATCCAGGACCGTTTTATAGCGTGTAAATAATCGATTGTAAACTTTCATGGGGATTCTTTTTACCCTATACATCGGGAACTCATAATTTAGACTTAGATATTACGACTTTGGCCGGTTATATTGTAGGTCCCCACTTGGCGCGCCTGGACGGCAGACGGTTGTAAATCCGGTCGGTTTTCGTAATTTCGATTTAGAGAGACGGCAAATAGGGCGTAAATGGGTTGCTGTATCAATGGAGGCCGTTTTCCCCGCTTTTCACACGACGGACGAGACACCCCGTCAGCGAGACCGATCACTTTTCCCCAGTCGGCGAGAAGCCAAATGGAACTGTCCTGTCCGTTTATTACCCTTCCCATCGGGCCGTTTTTATATCCTCTCCAATGCTTTTATTCAGACTGTAAATCAAAGCTTCCGAGCTTAGTAAGAAGTTCCGATCGATAACAATTTCTTAGTTTATAGAGGAAATGAATACCACCTTGCTTCCTTTATCGAAAATGAAAGTTAAACTGAAACAACACGTTCAGATCGTGAATTTGGAGTAAAAGTGAACCCTAAATAGAGCGGGCTCTGAGAGTGAGATTGAGGTTACAAATTGAAAGGTGCGATCAGCCCTGAAATGAGGCATGGTTCACGGCTACCATTCGCCGCGAAAGAAAGGCCAGAACAACCACTGCAGACTATTTCCGGCTGTTGAACGGATAGAAAATTCCGACTGATGGATGGCCACCAAAAATCCATAAAATATATCCGTCTTTAGTATATTATTTACTCTTTGAGAAAAGTCGATAGTGATGATTGTCATCGAGTATTAATCATCGGGTTACTGAACACCATGGAGGAGGGGGTCATCGGCGCCATATAGGTTTCTCATGATAGTTTAGCCCGGAATCGTTTGTACCGGGCTAAATCTAAGAAATGGGATTTGTAGGTCGGGATTGGATTAATGCATGAAAGGAGTTCAAGGACAGAAGTTTAGGGAACGCTTGGCCAGTACCGTTCAAGACCGTAAGTCCGTACCCTACAGTCACACAGCTAAACTGGGTAAAACTCACCAGTCACTACATTTGTGTACCCCAATATGCGTGAGGAAAAAGAAAGAGCCACAGCTCAATGAGAAAACTAGGATACTAAAATAGATCGAGGGAAAAATCTTGCAATTCAATGACCATCTACTTTTTAAAATCGAGTCAATTGAATTTATCTAAGGAATTGGGAAAAGTAAAATAAACCAGACTGCTGCCGTGCTTGCGGAACACCAACGCTTACTAGAGTATCATGATCAGGGTAGTACGGCTCTATACCAGAGTGATAATAACCTATGGTAGGTTATGCAATGAGGAGGAAGAAACCGCCATAGTATTTGTAGTGAGAAGCAACAGCTTTATATAGACTTAAACTTAGTACTGAGAATACTTGGGAATTACAGACATGGCAGTCGATGGTCTTCACCTTTTTAAAAGAAGGAAGGAGTCAGTTAAACTGAACTAAGGGACTGGTAAAGTACAGCCGGAAGGCTGCAATGCAGCTCTACAACGGTCGCTTACATCTGAGAAAACACCTACAACATGAGTACATCAACGATGACCCCATTTGAAGGTTATGCAAGGAGGAAGAGTGTCTCCCTTATTATTTTACAACGCGAGCATCGCCAAAATGCAGATATAAACTAGGAACCAGCGAATTCAATGGTTTTTAAAAGAAGGACGGAGTAGCTGAACTGAACTAAGGAACTGGAAAAAGTATAATAAGCTAAAAGGCTGCAGTGCTTAAGGAATACCAAACCCCGCTTTGTAGTATCATCATCATCAGGGAAGTGATACAGCTTCTATAATGATCGTCACTTGCATCTGACACACCTACAAAGCATATTTGAGAGATATCAGGGCTACAGCCATCTGGATGTCCTTGATCGACTGGCGGAACGGGGGTTTGAGGAATTGGAGATGGTATTTAAGAGGGTCCCACGAGAAGATAGACCCAGGGGTTTATTATGTCGTCAGCGTAAAGATAGTGAAAAGTAGTGAACTGAAGATTCTCCCCTGGAGGACACAGAAATAATGGCTTAAGGAAATTATATGAACCGCGAAGACGCCGTTGAAGCTAACTTAACTGAACGCAATTTTGATCTTTAGTAAGAACCCCTGTGTAATATCCCAATCTAATGCAATGTAATCGCTATAGAATTTTATGATTTTTTGTAACCACAAATAGGCAAATTAGTATTTTAGCGTTTTGGTCGATATATAAATAGAATGCGTTTTCCGTTAATTTCATATAGTTATCATCTTAAAAAAACCCACTTCTTAGGATAAATCTGTTCAAATTTCAGCAAGAGAATGCAGCATGAGCATTGTTTTCCATTTACGCCAAATGGTTCACGCTAGATGGGCTTAGTTTAAAACGCCAATTTTTAAACCAAACGGTATTTTTACGATAAGTTGAGCCTCTTACCTTGTGACCCTTTGCCGGTCATGTAGTCTTCCTTACAAATAAATTTATTATCGTCTAAGACGTACAGTTCTTCCCCCGTCGAGAGCTGCTTTCGGCATATCATACACGTGAAGCAGTTCAAATGGAAAACCTTTCCCCTAGCTTTCCTGACCAGATCGCTCGGGGATATGCCTTGGAGACAGCCACCGCATTTCGTGCCGTATCTCCTGAAACAGAACAGAATTTATTGTATTTCAATGAGGTATTCGAGACGAGGCGAAACCGGGTGGAGAACCGTCGAGGGGCAGGAGCGAGAAAGCCGAAGAGAGGTCGGTGCGTCGGCTTTCAAAAGCCTTTATGTCCTTGGATCGAAGCGTTTACGATCTTGTCACAGACAATAATCACCGACGGTTTAATAGCCTGTCTTTACTCCTGCTCTTTTCGACATTGATTGCTTTTCGTGGAAATCAAATTTTCACCCGGAAAAACAGAGTTGTGTAGTTCCAGTACCCCACCTCGGTTTCATTTTTTTTTTTTTTTGTATTTTTCTAATGAAATTGTCCTTACCTGAAAAAGTCGTTCCGGCAGAAGAGTTTCCCCTCGCGGCTGAAACACTTATCCGTGAGATTCCCGTGACAGTCGACACACCGGACGCATTCCGTGTGCCACGTCCTGTCCAATACATTTAATAGGAATTTGTCCAAAATTGGCTTTTCGCATCCGGCGCAGACGATGATCATTGCGCTCCCCCCCACCAAACTGCCTCCACCACGTCCTGAAAACAAACGGAAAACTATTAGTATTATGATAAACGAACAGAAAAGAAAAAATCGAGTCGAGGATCCATTCGAAGTTAACAGTACACTTCTCACACGTTTATGACTTTCGACCTATTCATAAATATATTTTCAGGAGTATCAAACATTCCTAGCTTATACATAATATTGTGAACACATTGTTTTTTTTTTTCACAGGTCATAGCACTAACACTAAGACGAACGCAGTACTCGGAAGACACAAGCCATGAGAAATCAGCCAATGTGGGGGATTAAGAGAAAGGAGATCTCAAGTAGTAAGGTTAAGATGAATCGTAAGGTGTGACTCTTAGAATCGGGAATGGATAAAAGGAATGTTGAGGTCGTTGTGGATAGTGATGTTAATGACGTAGTAAGGAGCTTTGATAATTTGTCTGAAAGATTGAATCCGCTGTATATTGAATAACTTTGTAGACCCGTTCAGTTCCGCCCAGTATATCCAAAGTGGTCGCAGAAATATCATTTATAGAGTTGAGTTTTGACAGTCAAAATAGATTTCTGTCCTATAAGTTTTCATAGCTTTCCAAGTTAACTTTAGTCTTCTGCGGAAATTTCACGTCAGTCTGATGTTTAGGTATATCCGTAGGTACGCCCAGTATGTCCAGAAGGGTCGCAGTAATGTATTTTACAGAATTAGCTGAGTTTCGACGGTCAAAACTGATTTCGGTCCTAAACGCCATCCTAAGTGCCCAAATCTTCCGTTAAGTTGTCTCTGAAGTCTTGTCTCTTGAATTTTACGTCATTCTTAGTGGTGAAGGTCATCCGTGTCAGTAATGCTGACTAAATATAAACCTAAGTATTTGTTTTAATTAGATGTGAGGTCAGTTACGCAGTAAGGGATTTGACAATTTGCCTAAGGACTTTTGATTGTTAGGATTAGATGCACTGGATGTTTGATGGCATGGCAGGCATGGCTTGTTGTCGCAGTAGTCTTGTCTAACGTTAGTTGAGTTTTGACGATCAAAACAGATTTTGGTTCTTCAAGACTTCTGTTAAGTTCACACTTAAGATACAGTTTAAGAGTAACCACCCAAAGCTGGCACTCATGATTGATTAGGAGGTCTGGTAGCCATTCAAGATTGGAAAGTGGAAAAAGGGTCTGGGAAGTTGTTTTTGGATGGATCGAAAGCTTGATGTGAAACTTTAGGAAGCATCGGATCAGGTCATTGACAAAAGGAATGTTGAGTTCGTTGTATATAGTAATGTATTTAGGAAGGAGCTTTGACGATTTGTCTCAGGCTTTTGATTGAAATAGATTCGCTGGTTATTGGATGGCTTGGCAGAACCCCACAGACACGCTCGATATGCCCAAACTGGTCGAAGTAATGTCTTGTATAAAGGAAGTTTTGACGGTTTAAGATAATTTCGGCCCTAAACGTTTTCCTAATTGTCCACTCTTATGTTAAGTTGTTGTCTCTGAAGCCCAGTGTAGTGATTTTGCGTCAGTCTGTTTTCTAGGTACAGTCCTAAGTATCTCTCAAAAATCACGGTTACCCGCCACTATACGGAAGTCAGTTACTTAGGATATGTGTATATATATACATATTCTACGAGGGCTCGCAACAGCAGGGGTCATATCAACCCTCAGGGTACCGGTGGATTTGAAAAAAAAAAAATTATAAGTGTGTCGGATTCGAACCCGGGACCTTTACCTTACAGTGATGAGCACCGTTTCTACGACAAAACCGTTGCGGTCACCGACGCCCCTCACGTTATTTCTTCAATGTTTCATCCCACATATTGGCAACACTGATTTTTTCGATGCCTAACTAAACTTTCTATCACAAAACTCACAGGATTTTCCGCTAACCTTCGAGTTCGGTTAATCCAACCTTCCAAGTACTGTTCATGGTGTGAATCTATTCTTGGCATACATTATCAGATATATATTTATGGAAAATTGGCTAATTATTAAATTCTTAAATTTTGTCTTTATCGGCTATGACTTGCCCGTTGAAGCACTCGGACCTTGAAAGCTGCAATCGCCAACTTGGCTCGAGGCTAACAATTATTTTTGTTTTTTAGCGTTTAACGCTAATAAAAACTCGACTGCCGTAAAACATCGACAGCGATTAAACTTTATTTTTATTTATTTATTTATTTTTTGTAATTACAAAACCTACATGACGCTATAAACACGCCTAATTCTTTCCCCTCCCTTTTTTGCGATTGTAATGTTCATCATTGTATACCAGCACTTTGTCGAATGTCGGTAGAATCTGCATTGCAGAAACTTTTGTTCTATTGTATCGAGTATACAAAAAAAGGTTCGGTTCAATTGTGTCGGATGTAAGAATATTTGGTTTTCCTCGATAACTGCCTTATATTCAGGCTATTTCAAAATTGCTAAACCGTTTCAGAGGTCGATATTGAAATATAATCATAAAAATTGATATCTGTGCGTAGAAGATAGATGATAAAAGGTTTTGATGAGTTGGACCCCTGCCATTCGGCTTTAAATTCTTCTGATAAACATTCACGAAGTTCCTTTGTCCCAATGCCAAGTTAGGGCCTAGCAAAGCCCCCGTTGAGGTTTTTCCGCTCGGCCGATTCCATTTTCGGGCTTAACCGTAGCCCCCCGAATGCAAAACTATATCACTATCGGCTAAGTCTGCCCGTATCAAAACAGGATTCCTTTCGGTCGGCCGCATTCAAAAACATTACAACCTTAGGGGGTTTATCTTATTTAATCCGTTTACGATCACGTCACACACACGCAACCGACACCACAAAAAACAAACAGCGGGACGATAATAACTTTATTCTCCCCTGCGAGGAAAATCAACCATCGAAAACGGACAAAAAAGGACCAAATGACTAAATAGCGTTTGATACGCTCCTTTAACGCATTCATTGTTATCTACACAATATATATAAAATCCTAAAAATATACGTAGATAATAAGCGCTATTTCTAATAAGAGGAGCTAGTTTGCTAGTTTTCCAATAATAGAGTCGCTTAACCCTTCATGGCCCAATGTTGTCTTTGAGGAAGACGGGCAGAAACAGAGCAGGAACAACACTGCGCTCGCCCTAAACTCACGGGATTTCCGGCTAACCTTAAACAAAACTGCTAAAGTTGGCATTGCTCTGAAGCAACTTTGTGCAAGAAAGGGTTAAACTATAAACTGGAGTTTAAAAAAATATGTTTGGCTAATTAACAATCGATACTAGATGCAGTGTAGTGGGGGCATGTTGGAAATAGAAGATTCCTAGATGGAGATTTTAAATTGGCGCCAAAAAAGTCAGTGTTGCCAAAACACGGGATGAAACATTGAAAGAAAACACTGCACCCGCCACAAACTCATGAGATTAGCTAAGCTTTAGCAAATTTGCTAAATCTGGTGTTGTCCTGACAGGTCCTCAGGTCAAGAGCTCACACTGGCTCAAAAGTGACACGAAGCGATAAAACATTTGTCTTCAAATTTGGGCATTCCAAAGCATTATACATTTTATACAGTTAGGTTATTATTTTCAATTATTATTATTATTATTACTTAAATGTTACTGGGTTGTGAAAAAGGTCATTAATTTTAAAGCATGATTCATACTAGAGAAAAAGTAAAAACAAAAGGAATATTGAGTGAAGATAAAAGGTTCCAAGATGGAGAGTTTAGATTGGCACAAAAAATCAGTGTTGCCAATACACGAGATGAAACATTGAAGAAAAACACTGCACCTTCCTCAACCCATCGAATTAGCTAAGCTTTAGCAAATTGTTGTTGCCCTGAAGCAACGTTGGGCAAGAAAGGGTTAAAACATTGCAAATTACGCTAAACCAAAAAACAACATTTGTTCACCCAATTCTTCTGAAAATATATTCTGTCATATATCAAATATTGTATTATACATTTTATATATATATATATATATATATATATANTATATTCTATTGAGGTTAGTTAAGAAGTATCAGCTACGATGGAGGTTCTGGGTTCAAATGCCTGGACAACCGTTGATTTTTATATTCGAAATAATTTAGAAAACGTTATTCTAAAATTGAGACGGTAATTGAATTTATTGGAAAGTTCAAAAAATATGTACATAAAAATCATGGAAAATATCCCGGGGAAGAGTTTTTGGCGTCCGATTCGTATTTGCCACGCTAGAGGTTCCAGGTTCGAATCCCGAGATAACCCTTTAACTTTAAAGAATAAGTCGGGAAAAAATATTAAAAAGATGCTATTTGAGACGGCAAGTCCTCTCTCTATAAAAGGTCTTGGCAAGAAGTCCAGGACGGGTTAGGGGGTCCGATTTGTAGTTCTCACGTTAACGATTCGTGGTTTGAACACCGGGTCAACCCTTGGAATTTTATACCGGGAATAATTTGGAAAAAGGCGTTGTAAAGTACTGTTCACAGTATCAACGGGTAATTAAAAAATCTATCTGATGAAAGAAGATTAATTAACCTCAAGGCGGTTTTGACACATGAGCATTATTTTCGCTTGGTATTGCGACAAACCGGACACCGGCCGGCGACAATTAATCGCGTCAAAATACAGGGTGACCTTTTTAGATAGACCACCTGAATTTCTCTTGAACCTATGACACTATAAAAAATACATGTTTAATATTTTTCAGTCTAATTGTAAATTTTTACCTTTTTTGGTGAAAAATTATACAGGGTACTTTAAGCCCAGTTAACTTCAAATGTCTAATGACCCTACACATCCTGACGCATCATTTTACAGGATATTTTGCGCTGAAAACAATGGTGCAATTTTAAATTGGTCAAAAAATGGCAATGTTATGGCAAAAAGTTTGAAAAAACGAATTTCTTTTGTTTCCTTGTTAATTCCAATAATTTGCTTCTTCACTAAAGTAAACATTAATTGCTTTCATTGTTTACATTCTCTCATTGTTTGTCAAACTCGCTGTTCCATCACCGAGAAACCGGCAGCGTAATTTCGACGAGGAGCTGAATAGTTTACTGTGTGCTCGCGAAAATCCGAATTCCTCTC